CCCGGTCGGTCCCGGTCCCTCTCCGGTCCCGGTCCCGGTCCTCCGTCGGTTACGGGCCGGGCCGGGCCCATTTGGCCATCTCTATTCCTAACACATCCAAATTTTAGTTTGGACAAGAACAGGGTACCGAACTATTGTAACATCCCAAATTTTTCGAATACTTAAATATAACAAAACTAGTATCCCACGATCAAACACTTACATTGCAGCGGAAATAAAATTTCTAAACTTACAATTTATATCACCATCTAAAATTACAATCTTGAGGAATATAATTTTGTTCTATATAACAACGTCTTGATCTACATATCCTTCTTTGGTGCTAATCTTTATATCTCTCTTTATCCAAATTTTCTTTTCTATTTAATAGGCGTCTGGGTAAAAAAGTTAAAAGAGTTTTGGATGAGCCTCAGACCCAGTGAATCCACGGGGTTCATGCACGAACAACAACTTTTACAATAAACAATTTTCACGAAGCTTCATAAATTTAACATGTCTTGATAAGAATAATGTTTTTCACAAAATAAAGATATTATAGTGCGTGTCTACATCACAAAACAAACGGCGTCATGAGAGATGTCTACCTAAAACATCATTACATGGTGAACTCACACAGCATGTCTGCACTTACGGCTTAGACAAGTTCACAAAGCATGTTCGTCTTTACAAAATCATACCGTAGTACATCCTCATTGACACACAAATACTCAAAACACATTATAAAAATATCAAACTTTTCACGCATATATATCATATCATAAATCTCGAGAAACTTCAAACAAGCTTGTGGATGATCATAAATAAGGCATGCAACCAATTTTAAATAAATCACGTGTAACTCACAATACATGTCGTAATCCAAACCGATCTTTGAAGTGGCTAGCGTCTCCCCGATTGGTGTCAAACTAGCTACGATGTAGAGCACCGTCAATTCTCATTACAGCGTCCACCGTCACATTTTCTCACAATAGTTCTCCTTCTTGACCCAAACTTCACATAAAGCTACAAACTCCCATTTTATACTAAGCCATTAGCGGTTTCACGGAATATGAACGATAAACCATGATTAATGATCGAAGGTTTCATGTCTCATTGGGAACTAAAGCCGACCCCTAGGAAAGCTATAAGGAAAATATGATGTTTTATGTGTTCAATCGTTAGTTTATAATTAAATCATTTCTCATATATGATTATATTTCAGTAATTTCAATTTCAAGTGACACAGATATATGAAAATAGA